ACGATTCTGTCTTTAGGTTGTATGAGTTACACGCTTGAATGACACAGGTTGTCATTTTTTTCTTTTTCTTTTGTTTTTTTTAATTGAGCACCGTCCAGGCAACTAGTTTCGTTTTACCCCAATCCCGGTCCCTAGCCAAAAATCGTTAAATCAATTAACGACTCATTGACCCGAGTGGTCGAACCGTTAACCCGTTAACCCATTCAATGGTTTTTGGCCATTTTTTCTATTTTTTAAATTTTTTTTGTCAGAACGGGCCGTCCGTTCGAACTGTCAACCCGAAAACTGATGGCTAGAACAGTTCCATTTTTGGGTCGTATGAGTCACATGCTCGAATGACATAACACGTATGGTACTGCTTAGTGGACCTCATTCACTCAATTTTTTACCTATAATTTTTGTTGTCAATAGGTCATTCGTTCGAATCGGACGATCGAACCGTCGACCCGAAAACTAGTGGCCAGAATGGTTCCATAATTTTTTGTTGTTAGAATGGGTCGTCCTTTCGAACCAAACAGTCAAACCATCGACACAAAAACCAGTGGCCAGAATGGTTCCGTTTTCGGGTCGTATGAGTCATACGCTCGAATGACATAACACATATGATACTATTTAATGGACCTCACAAACTCAAGTTTTTGCCCATAATTTTTGTTGTCAGGACGGACCATCCGCTCGAATTGGATGACCAAATCATCGACCCAAAAATCGGTGGCCAGAATGGTTCCATAATTTTTTGTTTGTAACTTTTGTTGTTAGAACGGGCTATTCGTTCGAATTGGACGGTCGAACTATTGGTTGTTAGAACATTATTAACAACATTTATCAATAATAGTAAGTAATTATACTATTTAATTAAATAATCACTAATGATAGTTTTAATAATATTATTTAGTTATTTTTAATATAAAAGTAAATATTAAATTTATGAATAGGATCTATTAACAATATTCATTAAATTAATAATTACCAAAATTAAATTAAATTAACAGTATTTATCAGTAATGGTAATTATAATATTTTATTAAATAATCAATAACAATACTTTTAATAACATTTTTAATATAACAATAATTACTAAATTTACTAACAATATTTATTAATAACAGTATTTATAATTTTAATTTAAAGTAAATATCTATTTATTAACAATATTTATAATAACAGTAATTATTAATTATAATCACTAATTATATATTTATTAAATTACTATAATAATCAGTAATTTATAACAGTATTTTTTAATAACATATTTATAATTTTATAGTAAATATCTAATTATTAAAAATATTTATAATAATAGTAATTATTAATTATAATCACTAATTACTGTAATAATCAGTAATTACTGTTATTTATAATAGTAATTAATAACAATAATTTATAACAGAAATTACTGTTATTGTAATTAATAGGTAATTATTATTTATAATAATTTATAAAATACTAAGTTTTGAATATTATTTTTATTAATTATTAATATTCTTCTAAATTTACTAATATTTTTTATTATGTATATTACTAACATATAAAATATTATTTCTAATGATTAACAATAGATCACCTCAAATGTTGTAGGTGAGATGTATAGAATCAAAACATAGGGTATGGATTGAAATGCACCACACCTTACAAAACGCCTATGGAGGTGTAGTGTGGTTTAGTCCACACATCTTTGTCCACGTTGTAGAACAACTATCCCCAATTTCTCATCTATGCTATAGAACACCCCCTAAATCATGCACACTGGGCTGAGTGACTTATCATGAGTGAACACACCACACCAGTATTTCATACACATGGGGCTCATGTAGGACCCACACCTTATGTGAGTAGGATATATGCCTACATAATACTAGTGTGTCTATTCATGATAGGTTGCCTAGCCTGTTGTACATGATTTTGTCTCTAACCAATCTGTTCTTGCAAATTGCGATCAAATGGAGCCTAATTATCATTAGATATTCACACCTATGGCTATGCATACAAAAAAAAAAGGCATAAATAAATGAGTAAAAACCCGACCTGATTGCGTAGAGTTACAGTCCTCCAATCTTAGTACTAAGCTCAGATCATGTCATCTAAGACTAGCCCAAGCCCAAGCCCAATAAGTGCAGATTGGGCTCAATTTTCCATTGGCCTTCTTTTTATTTTTTGATAAGCAGATCAAGAGTGTATATTCATTCAAGAAGGAGGGCAAGCTGCGCACCACAGAATAAAAACTAAAGAATCCCAATTATTCAAAAAAGCTGAAACAGCCTAACGGGTATAACCTCAAAAGCTTTTAACACCCTCGCCCATCAAACTAATAACCATTCAATCTTGCTGAGGACTACTACTTCATTAGGAGCAGTCTTGCCTTCTCACACTCTGTTATCTCTCTTTCCACAGACCTTCATTTCTTTTTGTTTTTACCTTTAGCACTTTAGGCTCAGTTTGGAAGGAGTATAAATACAAATGTGTAGAGTGTAAGACCTCGTATTTTGTATTATTTCGTATGTCTTTGTCTATATATTAGGCTCAGTTTGGGAGGAGTACAAATACAAATATGTAGAGTACAAAACTTTGTATTTTGTATGTATTTGAACTGTGCATATTTGTATTTGTACCCTTTCCAACCGAGCCTTAGTTTGTCTTCCTTACTAATTTTGTTGTGGGATTGATTTCTTAGAGCATGAGGAGCACTTCTCTCACATTACTTTACTTGGGAAGAGGGATGGGTTCTTAACCAGTAAATTTGGGTTCTGTATAAGGACCCTATTGAAGGAGTATATGGTATGCTTTAATGCTTGTTCTTACATGCTTGGAGTTAGGGTGGTGTTTGTTCACATGCGTGTGTATTGCATAAAGAACTCTCTCCAAATTCGTAAGCATCTTCCTTACTGCCTACTCTCCATGAATAAAAGATGAAAAGAAAGTTGTGTCCCTTCTTAGCAAAAGAACAATAAAAAGGTTTTTACTTCTTTTGTATAAGAAAAGTAAATACTTTCTTTTGATAGCTGCTAATCTTTTCTGATGGTTTTCACCAAATACGCATAGTGGGACCCATGTTACGTGAAGCCTGTTGCCAATTTGCCATATCATACCACGGAGAGCCTACGGTTCTGCAGATTTAGGGTCTGTTTGTTGGAACCAAAATCCTTTTGAATCAAAATCGGATCATAGTTTATTCTTATAGTCTGTTTGGTTCAGACAATAATAGGAATAATAGGAATAGAAATTAGAATTAGCAGGAATAGGATTTCATTCCAAAGAGAGGGACAGGAAATGGCCATTCTCTTAAATGTGGAAATGCCATTCTAATAGAAATGGGAATGAGATACCGATTTGGCTCAACCAAAAAGTTGAAAAGAACACATTCCGGTTCCGATTCCAGACCCCTATTCCCCCGAATCAAACAGGGCCTTAATCTCACAGGTACTGAATGACCATCTCAAGTAGGTAATCAGTAGTAGATTATTAGAACAATCTAATCTATCTCCTTTTTCCTCCGAATGACAGAAACAAGGCCATTGGCCCAATGATTCTTCAAGGAAAATTCGCCTGAGCCAGATGGTCATAACATCTCAAAAAGTGGTCTAGAAGGACATTGATTAAGCGGGTCTCTTCAAAAAAATTTAACCTTTTAGGCTGACTTAAATTTGAATTCAAGGAAAGTCTTACATTTCAATTGAAGTAAATCATTACATAAGCTTTGTTAAAAGCTCAAATGGATATACTGTTAGCAAGCTTTGTTTAGTGAAAAAGAAAGTAACTTTTCCTTTAACTTGAATAACACTCGTTATGTCTGCTTCCAAAGTATAGAATTGATTTATCTGTTCTTTTCATCTCTCATCAAAGACTCTTATTATATTAAATTAAAGCGAAAGATGAGAGATGGTAATTATAATGAATTCAATTCACCATAAAGATGGTAGGCACTTAATTAAATCTGCTTTGAATGGTTGATCCAATGGACCCTATCTAGACAATTTCCCAGATATCTCATCAGATCAACCGATTTTGGATGGCCCAAAATGTATATATCTTAATCTTACATTAATTCCTCTTTCCATATTTTAATTTCATGCGACTGAACTTAATCCAATAAAAATACCGAGGAAGAAAACAGACTCAGAAGGAAGCTTATTAGGTTATACTATCGTATGAGTAATTTGATCGAAAACGTACATGTAAGAAGTAATCATCCACAAGCCAAGAGTGTGCAATTTTGGAGTAGAAAGTAGGACAGAAGTTAGATAAATGAGAAAAGAAAACGTTATATTGTAAGAGATGGTACTAGAATAGAATCGTACAATCAGTTGTGATTTTGGAGAGGAGAAAAAATTCTTCTTTCGAAAGAATGGCCCACATATGATGGGCCTACTATTACTATTAATTCAAAGTATCGTTACATATAGATCAGATCAGTAATTAATAATTAAAGAAGTATCCGATCCTTAACGGTCCAGTGGAGGATGAGGATTGGGGATCACTCCGGATCTCCGATCCACAAATTCATCCAAACATCTCTACGCATCAAAAGGCAATCAATAATGGGAACATCTCCCTAAATGATGACAAGGGAAACATATTCCCAATGCGCTGCTACAGTGTCCAGTGGGTGTGTGGGTATGCGTTATAACAGCTTTAATCGAAATAACTGGGGAATGGGATATAAAAGGTTGGGTCCAGTCATCAGTCCTATGATCCCACCGCTATGTTAGGATTGGAGGATTGGAAATGTTCCATATTTTTTTCTCCAAATTTGGTAATCCTTGAAAAAAACACGTCTCTGACAATACCACAAGATAAGCGGATTAATTTCTTCCTTTCTTTGAAATCTCGATCCTACTTTCTTTGACGGTTTTGTTCCACCCAAGTCTAAATGCAAAAATTAGTTGACGTGTTCTTCTATCCTGTCCACACTTGCAAACTATTAATATATATATATATATATATATATATATATACTGAAGACTCCCTCTCATTTGTCAAAGGAGAACCCCTCCAGACACAGATATATCCCAAGTTTCTTTTCTGCTGTAAACATGTCGAAAGATGAATCGATATATCCTCGCCACCATCTTCTCCTTCTTCTTCTTCTCGTTTTCTTGACGAGTTTCATTGTCGTCAATGGAGACGAGCAAAAGGTTTTTCTTGCCTGCTTCCATTAATCCTGTCTCTTCTTCTAATTGCACTCTTTTAATTTCATGATTTAAATGTAGTCACTGCGATCGATGTGTGCAGAATTTCTATATAGTTTACATGGGAGATCGTACTATCACCAAAGAAGCTGCAGCTCAGAGGCACATAGATATCCTCTCAGATGTGACAGGAAGGTATATATGCTTAATCTCTCCCTTTATGCATCTTCTCTTAAGCTTCGATCGGTCTCTGTTAACGAATTCTAAATCTACATTGAACATTGAACAGCGTTGTTTCTGCCACGGAGTCTATCGTCCACAGCTATACTAAGAGCTTCAATGCATTCGCGGCAAAGCTCTCACCCAGCGAAGCGACCATGTTGGCAAGTCTGTGAAATCCCATTCCCATAAACATGTTTGTTTCTCATTAATTCGTTGGATGTCATGGACGCGTATTTTGAAGAAGATTGACATGCATAGCTCTGTGCAGCCATGAACGGCGTCATCTCTGTGTTTCCGAATCGATATCACAAGCCACAGACTACCAGATCATGGGACTTTATTGGGTTTCCTCAGACAGTAAGGAGAAGATCGAACATGGAGAGCAACATAATTGTGGGCCTAATAGATACTGGTACTTGGATGCATTAATTCAACAATATTTTTAGATTCTTCTTCTTCTTCTTTTGTTATATACAAGTTTCGAGCATTAATACAGGGATCAATCCGGAGTCGGAGAGCTTTAGTGACAAGGGTTTTGGACCTCCGCCGGTGAAATGGAAGGGGACTTGCGGACCATATGCTAACTTCTCTGGATGCAACAAGTAGGTTATTACCATTGAACTTTTTATTGTGCTCTGACTGTTAAGATCGATCGATATATTTTGTTAGAGTAGTTGTTCTTTTGCTTGCATAATTTAATCATCTACAGAGATATCAGGCTTTTGGAGTGTAAGAATAAGGGCCTGTTTGGTTATCGACTTTTGGTCTAGAAAAATCAAGCAAGTAATCCCTAATGCCACAAAACGAAAAACTTCATTAACCAAATACCCCTTAAACGCCAAAAGCTAGAAAGCCACTGGGTTATCCACTCCAACCTGATTATATATATATATATATATATGGGAAAATTTATGATATGGAAAAAATATGGTATGGAAAGAGTTTTGACCAATCAAAACCCACCCATATATATATATATATATATAATTCTATCTGAAATCATCATCCATATGAAAGTTATGCTATGCCTTTACGGTACCGTAACAATATAATAGTAATAGACACTAGACAGACCTCCGACCGTTTCGTTCCATAGAAGTTTGGAACTTTCAGTGAAAAAGAAAAGCCTTCCCTCTCCCTGGCCACAGTCCCACAGATGCAGTCAGCTATTTATCTGTTCCGGGCCCCAATCCGAAGATATCCTGGGTCCTGGCCCAGAAGTGAACCTTATTTGATAACTGTTATCGGAAAGAAAGAGGTTGAGGTGGATTGATTGCAAGTTGCAAGTTGCAACCATCCTATTTCGCTATCAAACCACTATTTTATTTATCTAAAAAAGTTAATACTTAAGGGTGGGGTGGCACTCAGTCCTCTTGAGTTTTGCCCGTTTGCAGCAGGAGTGCACATGGGCCAGGTTGGCCTTAATTAGTAGTCCAGGCTAAATGTTAAGTAATAAAATGGACTTGGAGGCCACTTCCATTTTGGCCCATGATGGATCAAGTCGGAGTTAGGCTTCCAGTTCCAGCCTTTGCCTTTCATATTTGGGCCCATGCATGTTATAAAGTTGAACCCTGTGTACTTGTTGGACCCTTAGGATCCGTTTGTTTTTAGGTAAATTATTTATCCTGGTAAGTACAATTATCTGGGTAGTTTTTCTTGGAAAACACTTATCAGGGTAAGTTTATTTATCTATATGTTTTTATTTTCTAGATAAATAAGGTAATGACCATTTTAACCATAAAAATGTATTATTAAAAGGGACATTTTTGTTCCGTTGAAGTGTAGCAACTTTCCCCTTAACTGGAAAAGTTATTTAAAAATAAACTTTCCCTCGTAAGAACACCCCACAACACTCGGTAAAATTGCAAGTTTACTAACACTAGTTAATTTTCCCCGATTGTCTTGGTATATTGAAGTAAGCTCATAGGCGCCAGATATTTCAAGCTTGATGGGGAACACGACCCATCAGACATCTTATCACCAGTGGACGTACAGGGCCATGGCAGTCATACATCATCGACTGCGGCAGGAAACCCAGTAGAGAGTGCAAGCCTCTATGGGCTGGCGCGAGGGACGGCTCGGGGTGCGGTTCCCTCTGCGAGGATTGCAGCGTATAAGGCGTGCTGGGTGAGCACCGGATGCTCGGACATGGACCTTCTCGCCGCATTTGATGCAGCTATTACAGATGGTGTCGATGTCATTTCCATCTCCGTTGGCGAAGACAACCCTAACTATGTGAGTAACGCCATAGCTATTGGATCCTTCCACGCCATGAAACACGGGATCATTACGACGGCGTCTGCCGGAAATGAAGGGCCTAGTCCAGGGAGCTTGTCTAACCATGCACCATGGATTTTGACAGTGGCTGCCAGTGGCATGGACCGCTCCTTTAGGAGCACTGTTGTGTTGGGCAATGGCAAGAAGTTCTACGTAAGTCATTAATTTCTCAATTCTAATTAATATATTATATAGCCACCCATCTCCTAGAGCGAGATATTATAAATTAATTTGTGTAATTTTATTGGTTCAAGCAGGGAATCGGAGTGAACTTCTTCTCTCCCAAGAGAAGATTTTATCCCCTTGTCAGTGGGGCTGATGCAGCCATGAATTCCACACCAGAAGTAGCGGAAGGTGCAAGGTATTTTGTTAAGGATCAAGCTTCCAACACTTCCTATACCCAAATTGAAATATATGGGATATAGATATATCCAAGAAACTGCTTGACAGACAAACATAAACTATAGAACACTACTGTTCATGCACTGCATGGGTGCTGAGTTTTAATTTGGGAATTGGAAACCACCTGAGCAATTGGAAATGATTAAGTTATACGTTCCAGCGTTAATTGTTACTGTTTCAGCAGGTTCTGTATGGATGACGCGTTGGACCCTGCCAAGGTGAAGGGTAAGCTTGTTCATTGCGAGCTAATGGTGTGGGGTGCTGATTCAGTCGTCAAACGCCTTGGAGGGATCGGTACCATTTTAGAAAGTAGCAACGCAGTTGATGTAGCTCAGATTTTCATGGCACCAGGAACTATGGTGGATCCAATCATCGGCCAAGATGTTAGCAACTACATAAATTCCACAAGGTATATATATTCAAGTGATCAGATTGGAATTAATTAATCACTTGGATGTGAGGATTGCTGAGAATCACACTGCCTTTAATTTCTTGACCAATTCGATCAGATCACCATCGGCAGTGATATTCCCAACCCAGCAGGTGAACATCTCGGCTCCATTTGTGGCTTCATTTTCCTCTCGTGGACCAAATCCAGGATCCAAGCGCATTCTCAAGGTATGGACTTTAATTTTTTTCTTTAATCACCAACAGACCCCCACTACATGCGCATGTACTTGTTTTATTGTTACCATGGATGAACAGCCAGACATTGCTGCACCGGGCATCGACATCTTGGCAGCATACACCCCTCTGAATTCACTTACAGGGTTGCGGGGTGATACCCAATATTCCAAATTCACACTCATGTCTGGAACTTCCATGGCATGCCCCCATGTTGCTGGTGTAGCTGCCTATGTAAAATCATTCCATCCAACTTGGTCTCCAGCTGCAATCAAATCCGCCATTATCACCACTGGTAAAAACTCAAATATCTAATGGCAAATCATTCTAATTAATAATCTAATTCTCCATGTATATGATCACAGCAGTTTAATGTGCTCTCTGCTATTTATCTGCAGCCACGGCCATGAGCCCAGTAGTCAACAATGATGCAGAATTTGCGTATGGTGCTGGTCTGCTGAACCCGATCCAAGCTGTCAGTCCCGGTCTAGTCTACGACATGGATTACTTTTCCTACCTTCCGTTTCTATGTGAAGAAGGCTACGGTGGTCCATCCTTGGGTATTATTGTGGGTTCGAAGGCTATAAATTGTTCATCCTTGCCACCTGCACGCGGCACCGACGCTCTCAACTATCCTACCATGCAGTTGAGCATGAAGAAAGGGCGTTTAGAAACAGTTGGGGTGTTTCTGAGGAGAGTCACCAATGTTGGCCCCCCTGCTATCGTCTACAAGGCCACCGTCCACGCACCATATGGTGTTCGGATCACTGTGAAACCCACGATTCTATCCTTCTCTCGTACCAACCAGAAAAGGAGCTTCAAGGTTGTGGTGAGGGCGAAACCCATGAGAGCTGCAGCCATGCTATCAGGTTCGCTGGTGTGGAGAAGCTCTTACCACACTGTAAGAAGCCCAATTGTTGTGTATGAGCCACAGAACCTCTGATATCAAATTTATGCAAATCTAATTGAAAGAATCAATGCATGAATGAAGAGCTTGCATTTGGAATTACTTTTTACCCATTTGTCTGTGTTCTAAAAGGCTTAGTTGAGTCTTGACTTCGATCCCTGCTCACTCAGATCACTAGCCACTAGGTAAATCTGGCCGGTTTCTGGCATGACTTGCGAACTCCCACATCGATAGTCTGCTATTCAACTGCCGTTGAATCAGATGGTCGGACTGTTTGGACAAGAGAAATTACCGTTTCAGCATCCGGTTCCGTTTTCACCCCTGAACTTTTCCTTTGCCAAAAGCTGTTGACTTGGTCAGCGAATGGTCGAATCATCTCTGATTCCCCTCATTTGAACTGATCACTTTTTTATTATTTTAACTTTTTTTATTTTTTAAAATATTTGAACCAGATGATCAAACTGCTAACCCGGATACTGATGGCAATGAGTACAATTAATTGGACCGGGCCATACAGAAACAGCCTAGTCCTCAACTGGGTCTTGATAATTTTGGGTCGAATCTCAAATCGACCTATTGCTTGGTCGTAGTCATACAACTGGTACAAGTTACAACCAAGCTGCGGAAATGTGGAAGCAGAAAGGTTGCAGCCATAACTAATCCTCCTTCTATCATCCCATAATTCAGTTAAAATGAAGCTTGTAAGCAAATCATGACTCGAGATCAATCAGGAGGACAAATCCACGTTCCAATATTGGCATAAATCCGACTGTTAGAAACCTATACCTCATGTCAGAGCCAGAGGCCCAATAAGTAGCTTGATTCATCATCTAGGAGAAAATTCCCCTTATGCTTACAAGAGAGAATATCTATTGCACTACTTCAGGGAGAATATCTCCATTCAAGGAAACCTTATAGAATGAGGTAAGCATTTTTTTCAGTCTTGCTGGAGTGAGGAAGACTGAAAATTGAAATAGAAACTTTAACTACAGACTACAGTTTATTTGGAGACTGATTAACGCTTGTTATCAAAGTTGATCAAAGGAACCAATTAATACAGGTCTATAAGGCCTGGCCTGCCATCATGGCATCATCATTTCCCTACCACCCTTGCCTTTGGTGGACTAAATTTGTTCAAGTTGTCTTACGGTAAAGAGGCATGCCACAATATGAGGTGCCTTGTTAAGCTGCCAAATGTCTAAAAAGAAAAAGATAAGGACCCACCATCTAACAGTGAATAAGCTGCTAGAAACTCATAAATCAGAATATCAGATAGCTGAACCCCCTTTTAATGGTGGGTCTTATTGATCGTTTATTCATGGGTCATATACTCATATGTAAGATAATTGAAGGGAGGGCACTTCATTGTAGTTATGATGAGATGGCAATGAGAGGTCCCTCCTTCGTTGTCAGATTTCCAAGAAGATCAGGGCCCACCAACAGATGGATTTCCCCTAAACAATATTTATTTATGGGAAAATCTATGATACGGAAATGATATGATATGAAAAGAGTTTTGACCAATCAAAATCCATCAATGAATTTTGATAAATATCACAAGATTCGTTACAACGTTTATTAGTCGAACCCTTTTATTTTATACTAATTAAAATCACCAAAATCTTTTATGATTGAATCACATCTCCGTAAGGATGCAAACGGCTAGGATGCCACATGTCTAAATTTTATTCGATCCGATTTAATTATTAACAAAAAAAACAAAATAATCTATATAAAGAAAAATAATACAAGCATTTTTTTCATATATTTTAAACAATATGAGGGTCTACATGTCTTTTTACAAAATACCATAAATAATACAAAAAATCAAATTATAAAAGTACTATATATATCGGATATGGGGTAATCCGAATTTGATCCAATTTAAATGGATCCTATTTTTATGACCTGATCTATCCAAAAATCCGATAAAGGTATATCCAAATCCAGCAAAATAGAATTGGATTTTAATTCAAATAGGATCATGGTCCAACCCGTTTTCACTCCTACATCTCCAGTGGTAATTGATTGATGCATTATCAAACCATTGGCAAGTTTTAATCCAGTTAACCTTCATCCCATTGTCCGTGATAAGCCATACTTAGAGCCGTTTATAGGAGGGCTTCAGTTTTGATTGAGCTGCATTGAAGAAGCTATTTAAAATTAGCTTCACCAAAAAGCTAATTTCTTGGCTGAAATAACATGTTCTTGAGCTTTTCAGGGTTTTTGCATTCTGTGTAGGGCCCATCTTACAAAATTTGAAGATACTTTCGTTTGTGTTTATTGGGTGGGCGTTTATTAGAAAAACGTTTATCTGATAAACTCTTATTTTAAATGTTTTCTATTTTGTTGTTTGGTGTTACACTTCAGCAACAATAAATGTTTTTTCATTTCATGCTGTTTGGTGGGGCATTTCAAGAAACAGTCATATAGATGTTTCAGTGTGATATTCTCATTGTGGTGTATAGGATACATTAGTCAATTCAACAGTCCAGATTATATATGCTTCAATTTGAAGCCCGAGTTTCAGATCCAACGGTTAATATGTGATATAATTCATATCCAACGGTGAATATATGACACTTTCACTTTGACTCTCTTTCTCTCTCTCAATTGCATCCAATAAAATTAATAAAAATAGAAGCACAAACTCCTTATGTATTTCATACTAACAAATTTGCGATGATAATAAGTCAGATAAGTTTTTGTATATAAGCCTACATCATTGTGAAATCTTTGCCCAATTTCCTTCTCCCCTATCAAAACATATAAAGAATGAGCAAGTACCATCTAAATTCCAACCCCCAACCAGGCAACCAATACAAAATTAAGAGAAAGAAGGAAGCAACAGAATTCAATTCAGTAATCCAATTCCATCATTGCCAGTAATCAAAACCCAAGAAACCCACATTAAGAAACCTCAACTGCAGATAAAAAAGATAAACAAAAAGTAAAACTCACCGCCATTTTTTCCTCAGAAAGCTTTGAATAAAACTCAAAAATAGCAGACAAAGAATTCTTCAATAGTATTCAAACTTCCTCCTCGACTACCCTCTTAATACCAGCCGGAAAATTCATAAATACCCAGCTTCTTCACCAATTCCCACGAAGATCCATAGAAAAAGAGAGCCAAAACCAGTCACCCATTGACCGGCACCACCCATTGACCGCAAATATACTCTACATTTCCCCTGTATTAGTATTTAGTATTTACTCTCTCTCCCCCTCTCTCTCTCTCAGCGTTGACCGTAAAAACGTCTGCTAAATTCAAAACCCATCCAGATCTGTTTTTGTAAAATATCCAAGACACATCCACTAAATTCAACTTTTTTTATCATATTGATCTATGATATTACTGGTATGTTGAAGACTGACGAAAAATATTAAAAATAACATGACGAAAATAGATGCGGCAACACTCAGAGAACATACCGGCGGTGAGAAACACTCAGATGCGGCAACACTCTCTAAAACCTTCAAAGAAAACAGATATATTGCTGAAAGTTGGGAGAAAAGACAAAACAAAGAGAGAATAGGGAGAAAATAGAGAAAGCGAAGAGAAAATAGGGAGAAAATGGAGAAAGCGAAGACCTTCTCACCGGCGGCAGATGCTCTTCCCTTCGGTGAAAAATCCCCTCTCCGGTCATCGCTGGATTGGTAGATCCGGGTGTTCTCCTCTAGGCGGCAGCTGCTCTTCTCTTTGGTGCTTTAGGTTATCGAGTGAGGAAGAAGATCTACCTTTAGAATGGTAGATCCGGGTTGCACCGGATCATCAGACGACACGTGAGAGACCACATCGGATCCACTTCAGCTCGGCATTTCATGAAATGTCCAAAGCGAGAATTTCTCGCTTCCCCCAACGGCTATATGCACGAAAACCAATGCAAATATGTTTATTTTGCGTTTTTTTAATAAATGGGCACACCAAACAGTGTCTTTTGAGCCAAAAAATGTTTATCCCACCAGATGCTGATATGGCGCTGATGTGGAGCCACTTTTTCAATAAATGTAAACGGTTCCAAACATACCCTATATATGTTAAACAGTTAAAGCCTTGATGCAGCGGCTTCTGGCTTTGTGAGGTGGACTCCACACGGACAGCTTAGAAGCTATATTTAATGAAAAAAAAATAAGAAAAACCCAAATGGGCTTTCGTCCAACCAAAATGTTAATTGGCTTTATGAAGTTTGTTTTAAGCTGAAGCCCTCCCAAACAGATCCTTAATTAAAAGCTCTTACTTTCGATTTTTGATATGTTGAAATTTGAAAACAAAACTCAGTTAAAAAGTGTTTGTATTTAAAGCAAAACATTTCAAAACCCTAAAGCACAAATCCATAAGCTTATCCAAAAGCAACCCTAATTAGTGATTTGAATCGGAAGCATCCTCTCACAATCGCAGGGCTCTCCCTCCTTCAAGTAGCAAAATATAGCCCCTCTTCTTTGGGTTTATTTCTAGTTTCTACAATAAACTTTGAATTGTATATGGCATAGCTTCCAAGCCTTTGTATGGTGGGTGGTATTGATTGGACTTGTACTTTGTTATTTTTGTTGATTATTCAAGGATGACATGGCTTTATCTTATGAAACAAATAAGTGAATCATTTTCTATTTTTCAAAAGTTTCATTCTGAAATTCACACTTAATTTGATATTCACATTAAGATCCTATGTTTAGATAATGGTCGAGAATATTTTTATACACCCTTTCAGCAATATTAAGAACAACATGGTATTATTCATCAAACCTCTTGCTCTTACACCCCCCAACAAAATGGAGTAGTTGAACGAAAAAATCGTCATCTCTTAGAAACCGCTCGGTCCCTTTTGCACCATACGAATGTACCCAAACGTTTCTGGAGTGATGCTGTGCTTACATCTTGCTTTCTTATTAATAGAATGCCTATGTCTATCATTGATGGTCAGTCTCCCTTCTCTGTTTTGTTTCCTATGTTATCTCTTTTTCCTCTTACTCCTTGGGTTTTTGGGTATGTGTGTTTTGTTCATAATCTTAGTCCTGAACTAGACAAATTAGATGCACGATCTACGAAGTGTGTCTTTCTTGGCTATTCAAGGACCCAGAAGGGTACAATTGTTACAATCCTAGTTCTCAATGTTGTGTTGTGTGTCCCGACATTACCTTCTTTGAGTCGGTTCCGTTCTTTTCTGGGTCAAATGTCTCTTCCCCTTCTTCTTTCCTTCCACTTCCACTTCCTGTTGGAAATCCTCTTGTTCCAACTACACCTAAGTCTTCACCTCCGGTGCCACTTCCTCCTGCATAACCACATATCATCAAGTGTATACGCATTGACATGCACCAGCCCCTCCAACTTCTTTACTGTCGACGGATCCAAAAGTGACTTTTGCAGCACCATCACCCCTCGTTTCTGACCTTGACCTTCCCATTGCCCTGTAGAAAGATAAACGTAGTTGTACCCTTCATCCTATCTCCAATTATGTTTATGTTTCTCACTTATCTCCTTCCCATCAATAATTTGTTTCGTTGTTATCTTCTATTTCTGTTCCTAAGGATGTCTAGGAAGCCCTTATCTCTTCGGGGTGGCATCAGGCGATGGAAGAAGAACTCTCCGCTCTACCCCGGGTAAGCATACTGTAGGATGTAAGTGGGTATATGAGGTCAAGTATTTGCCTAATGATAGTGTTGAGGGATTGAAAGCTCGGTTGTTTGCTAAGGGTTATTCACAGTTATATGGTATTGACTAAACAGAGGCCTTCTCTCCTGTTTCCAAGATTGGTTATGTTCGTGTTTTGATCTCCCTACCTGGTATACATGATTGACACTTGTTTCAGCTTGATATTAAGAATGTTTTTTTGCATGGTGATTTTCTTGAAGAGGTGTATATGGAGCAACCACCCAAGTTTGTTGCTCAGGGGGAGGATGGTAAGGTGTGTAGGCTAAAAAAAACTATTTATGGACTTAAACAGTCCCCTCATGCATGGTTTGGAAGATTTAGTGAAATCGTAAAGAAGCTTGGCATGAAACAGTGTCAGGTGACCATTCAATATTCAACTATGACTCTGATGCAGGGAAGATTTTGTTAGTAGTTTATGTTGATGATATTGTTATTACCGGCAGTGATAGACCCAAGATTGACAAGTTGAAAGCATTTATGCATGATCATTTTCAAACAAAAGACTTTGGCAATTTGAAATATTTCTTAGGGATAGAAGTGGCAAGGTCCAAGTATGGTATTAATTTGTGTTAGAGGAAATATGTTTTTGATCTATTAGAGGAGACAGGCTTATTGGGTGCCAAACCAGCGAAAACACCGTGGAATTGAATGTCAAGTTGAGCAGCGATGCAAGTGAGGAGTTTGAAGATCCAGGAAGGTATAGAAGGTTGGTGGGCAAGCTAAACTATCTAATTATCACTCTGCCAAATATCTCATTTGCAGTGAGTGTAGTGAGTCAATTTATGCAAAATCCTCGGGTTCCACATTGGGATGCGGTCCTAAGGATTGTAAGATATTTGAAGGGAGTTCCTGATCATGGCTTGCTATATAAGAGTGGTGGAAATATTGAAATAGAGGAATATATAGATGTTGATTGGGTTGGATCTATATCTAGTAGAAGGTCTAGTACAGGTTATTGTACTTTCCTTGGGGGTAACTTGGTGACATGGAAGAGCAAGAAACAGAATGTGGTGGTAAAAAGTAGTGCAGATGCTGAATATAGAGCCATGGCACATACAACTTGTGAACTAGTTTGGCTGTGAAATCTCCTATAGGAGATGGGGTATTCAATTACCACTTCGATGAAGCTATATTGTGACAATCAAACTGCAGTTCACATCTCCTCTAACCTAGTTTTTCATGAAAAAACAAAACATATAGAGGTTGATTGTCACTTTGTGAGAGAAAATGTTCTTAGTGGAATGATAAGTACAACATATGTTAATACAGGGAGTCAATGGGCAAACTTATTCACCAAAGAGTTGAATCAGGCAAGAGTAGATTACATATGTAACAAGTTGGGACTATATAATATATACTCTCCAAGTTAAGGGGGAGTGTTAGTGTCGACTAAATAAGGGTAGAATAATCTTTTGAGTTTTATTAATACGGTGATATATGTTTTAGTTAGTGCTGGTGAGTCCCAACTTAAATAAAGGCATAAAAGACATGTTATTTATTTTAATAAATTATGTACCTAAGAGAGAATTTGAACTATTCTCTTCTCTTGGGTTCAAACAGGTTTCTTCTTGATTTCTCCTTCTCTTCTTCTTTCCCTCTCTCTCTCTTACTTCTTCTCTTTTACATCAAGTTCAGATCTGAAACTGACGAATATAAATCATCGCACTCCATAATCAATCCTCTATACTTGTTTACATTTCCAATCCGAACTCTGATTGGGAAAATCATTTCTTTTTATTCATAATCAATCCATTTCTGCTTAATTTGGTCATGATCATCTTTCAACAAATGCAAAGGCAAAAAATTATAAAGAGTATCAACATCCCTTCTTGATTAATTGGTGGGGTTTCAAAATTCAAATATGCTTCCCAAAATTAATTAAGAAACCAATCAGAGTATAAACTTGTGCAGATGAGATTAAGCTATCACAATAGATGGTAATGGTCCAGGATACCCCCACTCAATTCCACACGCGAGGAGCTGGAATCCACTTCCACTTTATTCACTTAATGGGTTGTATTTCAATATATTGACTCGATCGATGAATGCAACTATCATGATGATGAGAGTCTATTCTCACTCCTTCTATAAAGGACACAAGCCTCCTTCCAAATTTCACAAACAGACGCGTAATTAAGCGAATTGAGTGTCAAGCTGAAAATGAAAATATATATTAAGCTTGAAACAATGCTGATTACGTGTCAATTAGTGGGGGTGGTCGGAAGGAGCAAAATTGAATGTTTAACAAAATGCAAGGATAAATTATAAATCCAATATTAATATGTTTGGTTTGAATCAACCAAGCATGTTGGGTGGGTATTCTGGAGATAACGCATGGTCCTATATATGCATCATTGCAAGCACTATATACTTGTATATATAGTAGCCCACAACAATACTAAACAAAGAAGCCAGCGTGCTTGAATAATGAAAGAATAAACTAAGTAAGGATTAACATCATTAGTTCATCACTTGTATATATATATATATATATATATTCACAACTTCACAAGCAATAACGAGAACCTGTTTTCGCCAGGCCAGTAATTAAAATTAAACTAAAGCGTCTGGTTAGAGCCCCACGATTAACAGGGAATGCAATAACCATTGTAAAGTCTTCACCATTAATGTTTGTCTGCAAGCTTCTAGATTGGGCTTAATTATAGAAAATTAAGCCATGATAGGTGGCAACTTCAGAAGGTCGGTCGGTCCCACTCCCACATTCGTCAGTCATCACAGACTCATGGTGTGTAGACCTCTGGACAACCTTTCCCCACTTTTAAAGTTTTATCCATTAGCACTCCATTAAGGCGTGCACTTTGAAAAGGAAAGAGGAGAGGGAAAGTGGGAAGAGAAACCCCTTTTGTTTTCTGCTATTAATTTTCACTAACATAAGCTCCTTGTCTGCCATTGCCTCCTATATATATATATATATATATATATATATATATATATATACAAGTTCCTCTCCTCTTCAATTTGGTTACTTCTCATGTATACTTGGGCAAGGACGGAGACCTATTGGCTCTAAATAGCAGGTCTCACTCTCTCTCTTTCTCTCTCTCTCTAAATAGCTTTGTAATTAAGATGAATACAAAGCTAGCTAGCATATTTCACTTCATTATAGGATATGCAAGATTTCATCACTATTGGCTATTCCAAATTCTCCTTTATTATTCTTTCTTGTACTGCAAAATCCAAATTCTCCTTTTTTTTTGAATGATAAACAAAGAGTAGGTAGATCAGATTAGGCTGAACCGGCAGGGACTGGATTACTTCTAAGTACTATATATCCTTAAATTCCAGATATAAATCGTTGAATTTAGGTTAAAAACTGGGTGAAAGCACCGCACCAAATCCAATCGTTGGGCTTGGATCAGATTGAATTTGGGTTATTAGCCCAATATTTTTACTTATTTTTTTTAAATCTTTTCTATATTCATGGATACATGAATACATGCATATGTATACATGCATACATACCCAAGTTGTAGAGGGAGCATTTTATAATGATGATAAGCAATTTATTATATCCATGCGGTATAAATCAATGGCAACTTCTTATTAATTATTTTATAAGCCGCTAACATATATAACTGATTTTGTTTTTGTTTTGGGGCCTCAGTTTTCCAGCCACCATGATGTTCCCGACATTATTTTTCATGTTAATGGCTGTCATGGGTGCCACTACTTCTTCATACGCAACAGTTGAAAGACAGATTTACGTCGTTCACATGGACCGCACCAAGATTTCAAGCTTGGATCATTCTCCAGGGGACACCAGGAAATGGCATGAAGCAGTGATGGATACCATCACCGAGTTGTCAGCCCAAGATGATGAGGAGGAGCAAGAAGCAACAGCACCTCAACTCCTTTACGTCTATGAAAACGCCATTACTGGTTTTGCTGCTAACTTGTCCACCAAACAAGTCGAATTGTTGAGAAACGTAGATGGGTTCGTCTCTGCCACTCCAGACGACATGTTTAGTCTCCACACAACCCACTCTCCCAAGTTTCTTGGCCTGCAGAATGGCAAGGGACTCTGGAACGGTTCCAAATTGGCCTCTGCAGACATCGTAATCGGTGTTGTCGATACCGGAATCTGGCCTGAGCATCCAAGCTTTAGTCAAGATGCCAGCATGCCCCCGGTGCCTTCTCGCTGGAAAGGCGCTTGCGAGAAAGGAACCAAATTCTTGCCTTCAAATTGCAACAAGAAGCTCATCGGCGCCAGAGCCTTCTTCAAGGGATATGAGGCTGTAGCTGGTCGGGTCAATGAGACAGTCGATTATCGATCGGCTCGGGACTCACAAGGGCACGGTACACACACCGCATCAACTGCAGCTGGAGCTTTTGTTGATGATGCTAGCCTGTTTGGCATGGCCAAAGGCTCGGCATCAGGAATGATGTACTCTGCCCGAATTGCAGCCTATAAGGTTTGCTGGTTAACAGGTTGTGTCGGCTCTGATATATTAGCTGCCGTAGACCAAGCTGTTGCTGATGGGGTCGATGTGTTGTCTCTCTCCATGGGAAGTTTCTCTCGACCTTATTACAGTGATATCATTGCTATAGCTTCATTTGGGGCCGTTCAGCATGGAATCTTCGTCTCATGCTCGGCCGGAAATTCTGGTCCTTCTGAATCTACGGTCGCAAATGTTGCACCGTGGATTATGACTGTCGCTGCCAGCTACCTCGACCGAAGCTTCCCCACCACAGTAAAGCTCGGTAACGGGTTAGCTTTCAAGGGTGCATCTCTTTACTCTGGAAAGCCAACTTCAATGCTACCCCTCGTTTATGGGGACAGCTCAGGTAGCAAGGGCGTCGAGTACTGTATTGATGGCTCCCTCTCTCCAGATATTGTCCGAGGCAAAATTGTTGTCTGTGAGAGAAGGTTGGGCAGTCGAACCGGGAAAGGAGAACAGGTTAAGTTGGCAGGAGGTGCTGGGATGCTGTTAGTAAACGCAGAAGACCAAGGCGAAGAGCTTTTTGCCGACCCACACCTCTTACCTGCGACTTCCTTAGGAGCCAAAGCTGCAAAAGCCATTAAAGACTACGTGAGCTCGGACAAGAAACCAACAGCTTCTATTGACTTTGAGGGTACGGTTTATGGCTATCCTGCACCAGTGACGGCGGCATTCTCATCAAGGGGACCCAACCCAATCGCACCCGATGTGATCAAGCCAGACGTTACGGCACCAGGGATGAATATATTGGCTGCCTGGCCTCCTACCGTGAGCCCGACTCGACTTAAGAGTGATAAAAGAAGTGTTGAGTTCAACATAATCTCAGGGACATCCATGTCATGTCCACATGTGAGTGGCCTGGCTGCCCTCCTTAAATCTGTACACAGAGACTGGTCTCCTTCAGCGATCAAATCAGCTCTAATGACAACAGCTTATATGCTAAACAACAAATTTACTCCAATCAAAGATGCTGCTGCTGGTGGTGGTTCTTCTTCCTCTTCAGATTTAGCAACACCTTTTGCATTTGGATCAGGACATGTCAACCCCGAGAGAGCATCCGATCCGGGGCTAATTTATGATATCGGCACTGAGGACTACCTGAACTACCTGTGCAGTCTGAACTACACCTCATCTCAAATGGCTCTCGTAGCTCGGCGGAGTTTCACTTGTCCTCTTCAGCCAGGCGACTTGAACTACCCATCATTCGCTCTGCTTTTTGACAATGGTGCCCAGAACATTACGTTGACATACAAGAGAACGGTGACTAACGTTGGGGCCCCGAGAGCTAGATATGTAGTGGTAGTGAAGGAACCAGAAGGAGTGTCAGTAAGGGTTGAGCCTAAGGTCTTAAAATTCAACAAGTTAGGCCAAAAGCTGAGCTACAAGGTGACATTTGTAGCAGCAGTTGGACGAAAGACCACTTCGAACGCCTATTCTTTCGGATCCCTGGTCTGGTTATTTGATAAATATGCAGTGACAAGTCCCATTGCAGTGACTTGGCAGTAGTAGGTAATGATCAAGGCTTAAACTAGGGACCCTAGCTTGAAAGGGCAGGAAGCATTGTTCCTTAAGGGGAATTAAACCCATAATAAAGAGTACTGAAAGTGTGAAACATTTAGAAATTAATCAAGTAGAAGGCCATTACTTCGATGAAAGTTGGAGTGAACTCAAAGAGTTGGCTAGTTGTAGTTATGAACACCAAATTTATAAAGCAAGAGAAATAGTTAGAACAAAACCGGTTTCTGAACTCTAAAATCACTGTAAAGCTTTCACAGATCGATATTTCCTGTTGGATATTATAATTTAAAGTTTAAGATAGTTGACTTGAATTTACCGGAGAGATGAAAGAGATCTAACCAGAATACGCTCACTAGGTCGTAGTTTAAATCGTTAACCCAGCAATTAGCCCATGATCAAATTGTAAAAACTGTCGTTGAAGCGGGAGCGGGACCCGGACCCAGAGCAGAAAGGTTATTATTGGGCCACAAGAATTGAAGTACCTTATATACTAAAATGAACGCATGCTGTCACTTTTTGTAAGAGAGCAAGAGAACATGTCTCTCTTCATGCATGCGGGTATAATTGGCTTCAGACTCCAAATAAAGAAATCTTTACTTAACAATTACCTCTTCTCAATTTTTTGACATAGTTGCAAGTATATTTCTTTTATTAGAATCCTCTAAAAAGAGACATAAAAATATTTAAAATACCCATCCAGGTGTTTTTGATTAAAATGTTTGTTTATTCAAATTTTCTCTTGGTATGAATCTCTAACCAAAAACCTTCCAATCTCTTTTTTGAAATTGAGTTATTTTTTAAATTTTCCCTTTATATCAATTACTTAAAGGTAAAGTTGCATCTTTAAATTCTCTGTTTTTTTTTATTGTTTATGAACTTTGTATTGTTTTTTGGGGTTTTAATCGTTAAGCCTACCCCTAGGGTGGAGCTAAGATTTCTAGGATGGACTAAATCCTGACTGTGGATTGATGCCAAATCCACGGGCGGGATGCGGTTTATAGGGGGGGGTTACTAGTAGAGTATGAGGTGGCTGTAATTTCAGATTTCTGAGGGGGAGTACAATTCACTTATCCCTTGTTTTTTCTGTAAAAACCAGCCTCAATAGTAATTGTATGGGTATTTGGGATATTTTTGTACCTCTTGTTAGAAGATTTTAACAAAGGGAATCTACTTGCAACTGTGTCAGAATGTTAAGGAGAGGTAATTACAATTACCAAACTTAAGGGGAGGTTCCAACAACTACAGTTGGTTGGTAAGATCTCTTGTTGGTTGTGGTGAGACTTGGGATCGAATCCCACCTACACCTCGATTGGGGTTATGAATTGGGGGATAGACTACCCCCGTTGTTGTGTCACTTCAAATGATATAAAAAAACAATATTCAAGGGTAAAGTGGGTTTGCTGGACTCTTTGGGTTTATAATTACTACAGCCAGTCAGCCATGGCAGTTGCACATGAGCTGCTATTGGGACTTCAATCTTGAATGGATGCATTGGATAAGCTTGCAGCCGGAATCCATGCCACCAGATTAAATTTTACTATCTAAATCTATCCATCCATTATCACAAACAGCAGAGTTCTGTTTTCTCTACTAACCCCAAGTCTTTGCATGAAGCCAAAGTATATTACTATATGATGAATCAAGGAAGTTTTAATTTGGTTGTCCATATAGATGAAATGTCGGACATAAAAATTAAATTCAAATACCATTTGTATACCATGCCATCATAATTTATATATATGATTGACCCCAATCAATGATGCATATTATTTTATATTCTCAATTAATTAATAAATTAAATTAATTAAATAAGGTTAACAGAAACATATGCGTTGCGTTCAAAAAAAAAATCATGTTGTTATATACTGTAAAATAAATAAAAATAAAGTTCTGAAAAGCACTCTTTTCTTCCACACGCCTCTGAGATAGTCATCAGATCTTCTGTCCCACCGTAACGCACTCTTTTCTTCCATTCTATAATTGGGTGACGGAGGAAGCTCTCTACTTTAATGAGCATTTGGTAACGTTATTCTTCTATTAATCAATTTACCATCGCTAGATAAGTTAAATTATCTTTGACTTTTCATCTATAAAATAGTTTTAATAAGGCCATAACTGCTTATTCGAATAAGCATTTATTTACATTTGATATTTAATTTTTTTAAGTGTTTATCTTTTAAAATAAGTACTTATTTTATATCAGGCATTTGGTAGCTTTTTTCTCTAATAATCACTTAAATAAGCATTTGTGACTATTTTATCTTTCATTTTTTTTTTTAAATTTCAAAATATACCATTTGAAAGCACTTTTATTAAATTACTTTTATAAAAACACTTTTATGAAAGTATTTTTATAAACACTTTTATGAAAGTACTTTTATGAAAGCATTTTTATAAAAGTACCCTTATGAAAGTACTTTGTGAAAGTACTTTTATGAAAGCACTTTTACGAAAGTACTTTTATAAAGTGCTTTTATAAAAGCACTTTCATAAAAGTGCTTTCATAAAAATAATTTCATAAAAGTGCTTTCATAAAAGTAATTTCATAAATATGCTTTCATAAAAGTACTTTCTTAAAAGTGCTTTCGTAAAAGTACTTTAAAACTGATTTCATAAAAGTACTTTTATAAAATTCAACTAGGGATAATATTATAAGTGGTATTTTAAAATTCAACTAGGGACAATTTTGGAAGAAAAAAATTGAATAAGTGCTTACTATATAAGCACTTAAAGAAAAGCTGGAATTTGGGCTTAAAAAATAAGCCCTTATTTTTAAAATAAGCAATTATTTGGGTTTATTTCCCAAATACCAATAAGTGCTTAATAGCCCAAATAAGCACTTATTTTTAAGCACTCCCTAACATGGCCTAAGTAAAATACATTGATTTAAGGTGGAGTTTAGTTCACATTAGGTTTCTAGTCATTTAGGTGTTGTTCATTTTCTCAATTTTTTTTATAAAGGTGTTCACTTTCTCTTAAAAAACCTCTTATTTGTAAACTGTAATTAAGGGCCCATTTGGTTTGCATTTGGAATTGGAAACGTAATCCTCCGAAATTGGAATTGGAATGGTCCATTCCCATAGTCTGTTTGGTTCAGACAGGAATGAGAATTAGAATCAGCAGGAATGGGATTTCATTCCCAAGGGAAGGGCAGGAAATGGCCATTCCCTCAAATGGGGGAATATTCTAGTAGGAATGGGAATGGGATTCCAATTCTGCCCAACCAAATAGTTGGAATTGGAATAGCCGATTCTGATTCCAGACCCCTATTCCCGCGAACCAAACAGGGCCTAAAGGATGGTAATTTCTACCCTACCCAGTGGGGTATTCTCCCTTACCCACCTCAATGAGGCATGTTTTATTTTTTGCCTGAAAAACGGATTTTGGAATGGGTATAGGTTTTGGGATTGGGAAAATTCCCGATAGGTACCTTGTACTTTAGGCTGAGTGCCAATTTAGTACCCAAACTTTTGAAATGCGACAATTTAGTACCTACCGTTGATGGGCTGTCAATTATTTATATCACATGACCTCATGTGCCATTTAATATTTTTTAAAATGTCAAAATTACCCTTAAAATAAAAACATTGTTCATTATCTTCTCTCACGAAAATAAAACAGATCTCAAGCTCTCAACAGTCCAGGCAAAAATTGAAGAGTCTACTTGTGCTTGTTGCTCGCTATCCTCCGCCCAAACTGTAAACCGCTAGCATGGAATGAAGAAACGATGACCATCAGAGACAGACGTTAAGGTTCTGAATTGGAAGCACGTCAAGGAAGTGGTCGACAGAGATCTCAATGCAAGAGAAGGTGGTGCCTTTCTACACAGATGATGAAGGCTCGAAGAACAAAAGGTGACCTTTGGTGCAGTGGCCATTGTCTATTAGACTCCCACCTCTATATTGCAACTCAACAAATTCTTCCCTTCCCTGTTATAGATTTTGGATGGATATCTTATTTGCTGGCATCGACTCCATTATCATCACAATAAATGCCGACTTCTGAGTCAGCAAAGGGAAATAGTTCTGGTGGGTCATCTGGATTTTGCTTGAGGTTGAATGAGCTAAAACGCAGATTGTATGACAATACGGTACGCCATCAGTATGATTTCTGGGCTGTGATTGACTGTACAAATTGATAAGTATACCTGCAGTAAAATAATGTGAACATACTGGGAGTAAGTGGTTGCACATGATGTCAAGAGTAGCCATGATTGATTGACTCAATAAAGTTGTAACATGTCCCCTTTCTCGTTTCACTCGTTTCCTTGTATTCTCTAATTTTCAAGGACATCTTTGTATCACCAATTTCATAATAGAAGCTCGATGCCTGCAACAACATCGTAGGTTTGTCTGGGCCGAGCTCCAGCAAAGCTATTGCAGCTCTTCTTCCTACCTTCTCATTTCGATGTACTATACAACTACGCAACAGGGAGCTCCACCTTACTGAATCGCCCTTAACTGGTGAGCATTTTAGCAACACTTCTGCTTCCTCTAACAAGCCTGCTCGCCCCAGAAGATCAATCATGCATGAATAGTGCCTCCTATCTGGGTAGACGACATGGATTGTTTCCATTTATTCAAATATTAATTGCCCTTCTCTCACCAAACCTGAGTGACTACAACCCATTAACACAAACAAGAATGTTACAACTTCTGGCTTTAGACCCTCCTAGATCATGGTCTCAAGCATCTTGAGGCCCTCTCTACCCATTCTATGTCGAGCACAATCATATATCAAATAGCAGAAAGTAACACCATTTGGATCAACCCCAACATCTGATTTCATCTTCAAGTAGAATCCTAGCACCTCATATGATCGACCCAATTGATAGAACCACGAAGAACCAAATTCCACGTTGCTAAACTTCTACCAGGCAATTCATCGAACAACTGCATAGCAGGGTTAAGATATGAAGCTTGCGGATACAGATCAATCAGTGCAGACCCAACAAACAAGTTTGCGTTGAACCCAAGCAAAACCACTCTGCAATGAACTTGAAGGCCTTCTCGGTAGACCCAGCATCACCGCAAATACCCAAAATTGAAGAACATGTGGACAGGCTTTCTTTAATGCCTCGAGAAACCATTTCTTTGAAGAGATCAAGGGCCAGCTCTGGAAACCCATGGCGAGCATGACCAGCTATTACCAAGTTACAGGAGACGATGTCACGGACAGGCATTGCTTCAAACATCTCAATAGTTGAATCAAGATGGCCACATTTGATCAATTTATTGATCGTTCGGTTGTAGGAGAACACACCCGCCTAATAACT